CACCAGAGCCTGGTGGGGGCCTAGCCTAGTAGATTTTGTGGAGTACCAGTGGGGGCTGGAGTACCAGTATGGGTTCCCCAATGCCGGGTGGGGGAATGATCCTCAGGGGCTGGATCTAGGCACGCTGAGGGCTGCATCCAGCCCTGAGGTTCCCCACCCCTGGTGTTAAACTACTAAAACAGGCAGTTTTAAAAACTGAAAATGTAAGAGTACTTTTTCTGTTCTTGTTTGATTTAAATTAAGATGGCTAAAAGCAGCATTTGTCTTCTGAATAGTGACGTTTCAAAGCTGTGTTAAGTCAATGTTCAGTTGTAAACTTTCGAAAGAACAAATATAATGTTCAAAATTACAAATAGCTCTATTCCTGAGGTGTTCATAACTCTGAGATTGTACTTGTACTAGGCCGTCTTCTGTTGGTGATGGAGACAAACTTTTCATAGAATCATAGAACCATAGAGCTGGAAGAGACCTTAGAAGGCCATCAGGTACAGCCCCCTGCCCAAGTCAGGACCAATCCCAATTAAATCAACCCAGCTGAGACTTAAAAAACTCTAGGGCTATGTCTACGCTCGTGGCTTCTTGCGCAAGTACGGCCGTTGTTGCGCAAGAATCTGCAGAGCGTCCACACTGCCCGCCCGCTCTTGAGCAAGGAAATTTACAGTATGGCATGGTAAGAGAGGGCTCCTTGCACAAGAGTTATGCTCTTTTTTATCAGGTGTAAGCCCTCTTGCGCAGGAGCTCTTGCACAAGAGGGCAGTGTGGACGCTTGGCAGGGATTTCTTGCGCAAGAAATCCCTATGGCTAAAATGGCCATCAGAGCTTTCTTGCGCAAGAGAGCGTCCACACTGCCATGGGAGCTCTTGCGCAAAAGCACAGCACGCACGTGGAAGTGTGGATGATGTTCTTGCACAAGAACCCGCCAGTGTACACATAGCCAAAGAATGGAGACTCCACTATTTCCCTAGGTAACCTATTCCAGTGCTTCGCCACCCTCCTAGTGAAATAGTTTTTCCTAATATCCAACCTGGACCTCTCCCACTGCAACTTGAGACCATTTGTTCCTTGTTCTGCCATCCATCACTACTGTGAACGTCAGGCAGCGTGGCTGGCCAAGGGAAATTGGGAAGAGAAGAGGGGGAGAACTGACTGCCAGGGAGGGGGTTGGGGAAAGTGGGGCTGGCCAGAGGCGCAGCAAGAGGAGCAGGGGGGAGGAATGAATCGGCCTGCAGGGAGTGGGACTGACCCGACCCCATTCCCTCTCCCCACCCACCCACAAAGCACGAGTTAGTCTGGCACAGGGATTCTACTGTGGTTACCCCCCTCCCCCGCCACACACACACAAACCCCTCGAGTAGTTGCGAACTATCTGGTTGGTAGACACACTCATGCAGCCTGAGCACATTTACCAGCCAGGCAGTTTGAAACTACAAACTGATACATCTAGTAATAATACAACTTACCTACTGAGAAAATACCAGACATGTTATATGTCTGGTATTTTCTTAGTTTGTTTTTCATGTGTTTATATTTTTGGGCTGCAAAAAGCAGAACTGAAAAAAAGGTTTCCAATTAAAGTAAAAAGTTTGAGAAACCCTGGTCTAACCAGCTTTCTGTCTGTCTTACAGCCCATTTATCCAATCCATATTCCTTAACTTGCTGGCAAGAATATTGTGGGTGACCATATCAAAAGCTTTGCTAAAGCTGGCACTGGGAGATTTGGGAGAACCAGAAGCAACTTATTTGAATATTCATAATTTGATTAATGAATATGCAAATATGCAAATGAACATTGCTGGTCCTCCAAAAGTTTGTGAATGGATTTACTGGTCCCCGTGTCAAAAAGTTTGGGAACCCCTGGTCTAGCCAGCTTTAAGTCCATCTTACAGTCCATTTATCCAATCCATACTCCCTTAACTTGCTGGCAAGAATATTGTGGGAGTCTGTATCAAAAGCTTTGCTAAAGTCAAGGTATATCACATCCACTGACTTCCCCATCTCCCCAGAGCCAGTTATCTCATCATAGAAGCCATTCTGGTTGGTCAGGCACAACTTGCCCTTCATGAATCCACACTGACCATTTTTGATCACCTTCCCCTCTTCCAAGTGCCTCAAAATGGATTCCTTGAGGATCCCCTCCATGATTTTTCCAGGGACTTTTGAGCTTACTTTGAGCTTTTCTGGTCTGCCAACAGAGGGATGTACTCTAGATGTGCCTTAGGAGAATGCTCCTTCTGTGGCCACACTTTTAGTTCAAAACGCTGGTGTGGCTGCACTTTGAAAAGTGTAGACACAGCCTAAGTTCAGTAGATTTTCTCACCAACAGAAGTAGATCCAACAAAAGATAGTATCTTGCCCACCCATAGACTAAAATATCTTGAGACTAACATGGCTACAATACTACTGCACACAACTTTAAGAGCTGTGAGTTTTTCTCTTTTTACCAGTTTTCTGAAATGAAGATGAAAGTGCAGAAAACACTAGTTATTCAGGAAGCAAAGATTATTGTATACAGTTTGACTGAGTCATCAGCAGTGAATACAGTAAACTTCCGATAATACGGCACCTTTAGGACCCAGAGGGTTAACATGGCTACAATACTACTGCACACAACTTTAAGAGCTGTGAGTTTTTCTCTTTTTACCAGTTTTCTGAAATGAAGATGAAAGTGCAGAAAACACTAGTTATTCAGGAAGCAAAGATTATTGTATACAGTTTGACTGAGTCATCAGCAGTGAATACAGTAAACTTCCGATAATACGGCACCTTTAGGACCCAGAGGGTGCCAGATTCTTAGTTTTGCCGGACTATCGGAAGGGGAGACTATAAGGGTTCTGGGGTGGGGGGGATGCCACCTCAAACCCCTCATAGCCCCCCCCTTCCAATAGTCTGGCTCTGCCCGAGGCGTCCCCGAATCAGCCCCCGCGGGGCCGAT